GCAGGGGGAGGGGAGAGGGGGGAGGAGGAGACGGGCATATGCACAAACAATGAGTGCGATACGCACCTCCAGGGGAATGGACACACTTGAAGCTCGGACTTGGGGGGGAGGGAGGGTAAGGGCATCATATGTAACCTAATCATCTGTACCCCCATAACATGCTGAAATATAATTTAAGATATTTATAATCATGACTCATCTAATTTTTATGAAAAAGTATGACACATTCTTATTATAGAAAGCTGTTGACAATCTCCTTTCTACTAATTAGAATATAAGTACTTTTGAGGACAGAAGCTATGATTTTTTTTGCTTTCCTCACAGGGTTAAGCATACTGCCTGCAGATATCAGGTGCTTAACATATGATTGTTGAATTGATGCATAAACTCCTAGAGGTAGTAAAATACATATATTCTATTCTGTTCTTTTAGTTAGCTTTCTCAAGGCCTGTTTCATGTCCTTATTCCTAAGGCTATAGATGAAGGGGTTCAGCATGGGGGTGACTACTGTATAGATAACAGTGACTACACGATCTTTTGTCATCGAGTAGGTGGATGAGGGGCGAATATATACAGATATTATGGTCCCGTAGAATAGCGCCACAACCATGAGGTGGGATCCGCAGGTGGAGAAGACCTTGTACCTGCCTCTCCCTGAGGGGAGCCTCAGAACAGCATGGGTGATGTAGACATAAGAGACAATAATGAGGATAAAGGGACTAATGATGACAAAGGAGCCTTCTGTGAAGGCCAGAAGCTCATTGACAGAAGTGTCAGAGCAGGAGAGCGTTAGCAGTGGCTGGACATCACAAAAGAAGTGGTGGATGATGTTGGGCCCACAGAAGGAGAGGTGAGCCATGAGAATTGTGTGGGTGAGCGAGTGCAGGTGGGACACTGCCCAGGAGGCCATCACCAGCAGGAGACATCGCCTGGGGCTCACGGTCATGGTGTAATGCAGTGGGTTACAGATGGCCACGTAGCGGTCGATGGCCATGGCAGCCAGGAGGAAACTGTCAGTGATCCCAAAAGCCACAAAGAAATACATCTGGGTGAGGCACTGAGCAAAGAGAATGGTCTTTCTCTGAGTCAGCATGTTCACTAACATTCGTGGCACGATGACAGTGGTAAAGCAGATGTCCACCAGGGACAGGTTGGAGAGGAAGAAGTACATGGGAGTGTGGAGGCGGGCATCCCCCCAGATTCCTGCAATGATGACTGAGTTGCCCACCACGTTGACCAGATACATGGCCAGGAAGGTGGCAAAGAGCCACACCTGCTGTTTGGGGTCAGTGGTCAGTCCCAGAAGAAGGAATTCAGTCATGTGGCTCTGATTCCTCCTTGGCATTGTTGTCCTGCAAGTGAAAAATATGAAGGAATGTTTGGTGTGTATCTTGGGTTGGAGTCTGCAATCTGGTAGAGGAGATACCTCACAAGGTATTCCAACTTGTGCACTGTGTAAGGGTAGCAATGCATATAGACTGTGTATAGCATATAACTGCATAAGTTTTTTTTTTTAATTTTTTTATTTTTCTATTTCAGCAAGTTATGGGTGTACAGATGTCTAGGTTATGTGTGTTGCCCTTGGTTTTGTTGTTGACACACCTTGATTTCAATTTTCACTTTGAAACCGACTGATTTTGTGAAGTTGAACAAGGCACTTCATCTCTTGTTTTTTGTCCAAAAGACAAAACTTATAATACCCATATTCTTAGGATATTCTTAGGATAAATGGTAAAGTTTATAGGAAAGGTACTCAGAAAGTCACCATTTTTCTCCATTTCCAAAGGTGGTGTAAATATGACACATCTTTTGCTCTGTCTGGCCTCAGTTGCTCTTTCTCTGTGTAGTATCAGCCTCCACCTATAATTCCTCTCTTTATTCTCCCCCTGTGAAAGAAAAAGTGAGCATCCTAAGTTTTCCCTATAGAAATCACATAAACATTGTAGAGTTTGTATTCCTGGGTCAAACCCCTCTTGAAAAAAACATGCTTTTATAATGCATTTGGGA